GCATTTTTTTTTCCCTTCCCAGAGGCAGACGCTTGAAACTCTTTTGGCTGATTTTTTTGATATCTCTCAAGAATGTGCTTATCTTGCTCCTATTTGATTTGGCAGTTTTAGGCACTGTCTATTGACTTTCCAGTGAAGAAAGAAAGGATTTGACCTTCTGTCCTTCCCCTGTGCCTTCCGCACATGCCTCCTCCCATCGCCCTCGTATTATTGCTTGGCCAGTTTTTACATCCAGTATGCCATGGTGGTTCTCTCTGCCTCAGTGACTGATGCTACTGCCCATCTGGCTGTCCATATCAGAAATAGGGCACTCTCCTTAACTCCTTCCTCTTTCTGCTAATCCTCCCTCCACTCATTCTTCCCCCACCTCCCATATCCAGCCACTCACGGAATTCTGTCCACTCTACCTCCAACATAACTTTTAAATTCATTCACTTCTCTCTGGTTGAACTGCCACTGCCCTTGCTCTGTCGCCCTCATGTCTCCCCTGGAATACTCAATAATTCTAGTCTCCACACTTCCTGTCATAATTCCCTCTGGTCTCTTCTTCACCTTACAGCCAGAGTGAGCTTTCTAAAGCAAAAATTAGACCAAGTGATTCTCATGCTTAAAACTCTCGAGTGTACCTTGGCGCCCACAGGTGAAAGTTCAAATTCCTTATCCTGGTGGGCTAGACACAATACTTTGTTTACCACAGCACTTTGTCTTCCTACCACACAGACTACTTTTGCTTGCTGTAAGGTTGGGGCCGTGTAAAATGTGAGTGGAAATGATGTGTGTCATTTCCAGGCCCAGGCAGTTAAGATCTACGTGCCTATTATGTCTCTTGTCTCTTCTGCTGCGGACCTCTGAGGCCCATGTTCTAGATGCTGTAGCTACAGGATGGAGGAGGGCTCCCCTACTCACATCAGACTTCACGTGAGTGAGAAATGAGTCTTTGTTGTGCTACGCCAATGAAATTTTGGGGTTTGTCTGTTACTGCAGCACAGCCTATCATAACCCTGAGTCACATAGGTCTATCTAAGGCCCTGCAGGGTCTGGTCTTGCTTCTCTCTCTAACGTGATTTCTCTTCTCTTCCTTCTCTTCAACTCTATATTCTAGCCATGAAGACACGCCAGGCTCTGTCCACTTCCAGGTGTTTGCACATGCAGTTCTCATTATTTAGAGTGTCTTCTTCTTACCCACTCCCTCTTTGCCACTCTGCCTGGCTAGTCTCAACTCAACCTTCAAGCCTCAGCTTAGATGTCCCTTCCTCTGGGAAGCCTTTCAAGACTCCCTACTACCTATTGGGTGAGGTGCCCCTTAGAACCCCATGCCTACCCTTCACTTACCACTCTGTCCTCAAATCGCCTGTTTACTCGTGTCTCTGCCAAACTAGATGTGAGCTCCCTGAGTGTGTTGACTTGGCCCATTCACTGCGCTCTCCTCAGGGCCAGGCAGAGTAGGTGCTCGGTCCTTTTTATTTATTTATTTATTTATTGTGAAATTTTCGTGGTACATTATTGTTTATCAGTCATCGTATAAGTGCATCCCTCCACCCCTTGTGCCCACCTCCCACCCTTCTAGCCCCTGGTAACCACCAAACAGTTCTATCTGTCCATGTGTTGGTTTATCTTCCACATATGAGTGAAATCATGCACTGTTTATCTTTCTCTTTCTGGCTTATTTCACTTAACATAATACCCTCCAGGTCCACCCGTGTTGTTGCAAATGGGATGATTTTGTCTTTTTTTATGGCTGAGTAGTATTCCATGGTGTATATATACCACATCTTCTTTATCCATTCATCAGTCAAGGGACACTTGGGTTGCTTCCATGTCTTGGCTATAGTGAATAATGCTGCAATGAACACAGGGGTGCATAAGCCTCTTTGGACTATTGATTTCAGGTTCGTTGGGTAGATACCCAGTAGTGGGATAGCTGGATCATAAGGGATTTCTATTTTTAATTTTTTGAGGAATCTCCATACTGCTTTCCACAGAGGCTGCACCAGTTTGCATTCCCAACAGCAGTGGATTAGGGTTCCCATTTCTCCACAGCCTTTCCAGCATTTGTTGCTTTTTGTCTTGGTGATTATAGCCATTTAACGGGTGTAAGATGATATCTTAGTGTGGTTTTGATTTGCATTTCGCTGATGATTAGTGATGTTGAGCATCTTTTCATGTGCTTATTGGCCATCTGTATATCTTCTTTGGAGAAGTGTCTGTTCATTTCCTCTGCCCATTTTTTGATTGGGTTGTTTGTTTTTTTGTTATTCAGTTGTGTGAGTTCTTTATATATCACGGAGATTAGTCCCCTGTTGGGTATATGGTTTGTAAATATTTTTTCCCAGCTGGTGGGTTCCCTATTCATTTTGATCCTGGTTTCACTTGCCTTGTAGAAGCTCTTTAATCTGATGAAGTCCCACTTGTTTATTTTTTCTTTTGTTTCCCTTGTCTGAGTAGACATGGAATTCAAAAAGATCCCTTTATGGCTGATGGCGAGTAGTGTACTACCTATATTTTCCTCCAGGAGTTTTATAGTTTCAGGTCTCACCTTCAGGTCTTTGATCCATTTTGTGTTAATTTTTGTGTATGGTGAAAGAAGATGGTCTGCTTTCATTCTTTTGCAAGTGGCTGTCCAGTTTTCCCAGCACCATTTATTGAAGAGACTTTCCTTTCTCCACCGTATGTCTTTGGTGCTCGGTCCTTTTTGTGGAAAGATCCAGGAGATCTTAAAGGAGAAGCTATTGTAAAAGCTCCAATTCAGATTTCTTTTACCAAGACTTTCTTGGTAGTTTAAATTCCTGAGAAAGTATTGGTTAGTGGTTTGGAGGGAAACAGTCTATAGTCAGACAGAGCCGGTTTGACTTCTGGTCTTACTAGCTGTGTAATGTTGAGCAAGTTGCTTAACCTCTTAAGCCTCAATTTCATAACCTAATGGGGCTAGTAATAATAATAACCACCTCACAGGGTTATTGTGATGATTAAATGAGTTGATATACATAAGCACTTAGAACAATGCTTGGTATACAGAAGTGCCCAGTAAATGTTACATATATTGTTATTTTATTTTTTTGTGAGGAAGATCAGCCCTGAGCTAACATCTGCCAATCCTTCTCTTTTTGCTGAGGAAGACTGGCCCTGGGCTAACATCTGTGCCCATCTTCCTCCACTTTATGTGGGATGCCACCACAGCATGTCTTGACAAGTGGTGCATCGGTGCGCGCCCAGGATCCGAACCCCGGGCCTCCGCAGCGGAGTGCACGTACTCACTGCTACGCCACCGGGCTGGGCCCGAGATATATTGTTATTTTAAAGAATATCCTAAATGCAAATAAGGTATCATAGACTGGATCCTGGAACAGAAAAAGGGTGTTGGTGAAAAACAGGTGAAATCCAAATAAAGCGTGAAGTTTAGTTAATAGTAGTATTCCAATGTCAGTTTCTTGACAGATGTACCACTATAATGTGAGATAACTTTCAGGGAAACTGGGTGAGGGGTGAATGGGAACCCTGTGCTGTCTTTGTGACTTTTCTGTAAGTCTAAAATTATTCCAAGATATCTGATTATAATTGATATTCATTTTATTCTCAGAATATCCCTATATGATGTAAGCACTATAATGAGTACAATTTACAGATGAAGAAACTGAGACACAGAGAAGTTAAATAATTTGCCCATGGTCACCATTCACAATCCAGATAACAAAGTAGGAATGATTGGTGGGTTGGGATTTAAAAAGAACACAATAATAAATACTTATTGAGCCCCTACTTTGTGTAAGGCACCACCCTCTGTGATGTATCAATAGAGAATAACAGGCAGTCTCTGTCCTCAAGGTCATTACAAGTAGGAAGCCCAAGTTCACACAGGGGTAAGGACAGAATCAGGGATAGGAGCCCAGCCCCTGATTCAGGAGCCCATGCTCGTAACCACTGCACCAAACAAACTGGGGGGAATTACATGCAATTCACAGTGGAAGTGCAGAGGTAAAAGCAGACTTGGTTGCAGGTTTAGGGACAGATTGCTTCATGAGTGGGGCCTTGGATCTGAGTCTTGAACGTGAGAGCATACTTTGATCCGAGTAGAGAGTGAGGGAAAACCTGGAATGGTCTTTGGGCCTGAGTTGAGCCACCCCTGTCTTCTACTCCCTTTCCCTTCTTCTGAGCAGCCCTGAGAGCTGGACCACGCTGGTGTGTACTTGGCTATTCAGTTTACTATTTCATGAAAGATGGCAGCACAGAGTGTGTAGACCATAGACTTTGGCGGCAGGCAGCGTAGAGTTCAGCAATCGTTCTGCTATTTATCAACTGTGTGATCTTGAGCTGGTTCCTTAGCCTCTCTGAGCTTCAGGAAAATGAGGGTACGAACGACCACCTGACCTACTTGCTGAGATGGTTCACCGGGTGAGGAAATGTGTATAAAGCTAGGTCTGATGCTGGGCTCTTGGTGAGGCCTCAGTAAGTGAGGGCCACCTCTGCGTGCCTCACTCCTTTGTTTCGTCCAAGGCTCACATGATGAGCCCTCAGTTATGCTACTGAACGTTCTCTGGGGAGGCAGCTTTGTGTAAAGGAAAGAACGTGGACTTTGGGAGGCTGTGCTACTGACCAGCTGGGTGACCTCGGTCGGTTGTTTAACTGTCCAGGCCTCAATTATTCACTAAAAACTAATATCAACGTTATAGGATTGTTGTGATAATTATGACATGGCATGTAAAGATGGCCCATGGACGTATCCCATTAATGTCAGTTCTTGTCATTGTGTCTGATATTTTTCTCCATTTGGTTCATATTAATCTTGACTTCCCCCCAGATTGTTTGTTCTTTGAGGACAGATCTTATCTCATATCCCTCCCTCCAGCACTTAGTTTAGGGGCATAGGTGGTGCTCATTAAACACAAGTGGGCTTCCTCAGCATTTAGGTGCATCCAATAGCTTTTCTAGACTTTGTTCTGCGCCATACTGCTGAACCCAAGGAAATGCCCTTGGGCTAGTCGAGAGGGAAAGGACCAACCCGTGAAATGGCCACCAAGCATTTTATTTATTTTACTAATAGGCTTCGATGTCCAAGACAGCACTGAGGGAGTAGGAAAGGGAGGGCGAGAGACATGGCAGGGGGCCTGGGAAAGGCGTATCTGAGAGTGGTCTCTGACGACTAAATGAGCTGAGGGAACCCATCCTGGGCCGAGTCAGCCCTACTTTGAAAAATCCGCCTGCTGACTTCCACCCGCTGCCCGTGCTCGTCCTCAGCCTCGTCCTCGCTCGACTTGCGGCGGGTGTTCTGGTAGAGCACGGCGCACACGCCTGTGAGCCAGGCGGCCACGGTGCCCGCGGAGAAGATGCAGAAGCCGATGAGCAGCAGGAAGATGTAGTCTTGGCGGTCCAGGTGCGTGATGCACATGTACCGGAGTGGGTTCCCCACCTGTGTGATGGGCCACCCTGCCAGCTCTGTGGGCTCCACGCACGTGGCATTTTGATCATCTATGAGGAAAAACACAGCAGGCAGAGTGCAGAAACAGCAGAGGTCCTGGGGTCCTAAGGCCAAGGGGCCCCTGGGTAGGCTATCTGGACCCTTGCTACTCAAAGTGTGGTCTGTGGGCCAGCAGCGTCGGCATCACCTGGACCGCATTAGAAATGGGGAATCTCAGGCCCCACCCCAGACCTCCTGAATCAGAATCTGCATCTTAACAAGACCCCTGTGATCTGTGGGCGCATTCAAGTCTGCGAGGTACTGAACCTGGACTGCTTCTTGCCCTGGGCTCAGCTACTTTCAAGTCACCTCCTGAAAATGGGCTTTGCTTCTTAAGGCTCCTCAAGGAACGAGACCCCACAAAAGGAGCTGGGAGGGTGGAAATTTAGGCAAGAGCCCCATGGAGTGTTGACACTCCGCAGACCTCCACTGATGTTCATCATCTCGCTCTCTCCCCTCCCTCTTCTTGACCCCACCTTCCCCCCTCCACTGTGTCCCTTTCCCTTCTCCTGTGCCTGAGCCCAGCCAGGGACCACCCAAGGGCATCACATACCACTTGGCTCAACTCCCGGGAGGAACAAGATTTCCTGAAAATGCCTACTGTGTGTTCTCTGTGTGCCCTCACCCACCACCCAGGAGAAATCAGTGGTGGTGGGGGTGGGAGGCTCAGGGGAAAGAAATAACCAGTAAGGGAAGCAGTTCTGCTTCTCAGTGGTGATGTTGGCCTCACTGGCTGATCACAGGGTCTACACGAGTCCTCAGTCCTTTTTAGCAGCTGACTCAGCTGCCTGGCTACTTCTCTGAGTACCTACCCATATCGAGCACCATGGATTTTAATATATAACAGAAAAAAAGTGGGCTCCGGAGCCAGACAGACCAGGGTTCAAATCCAGACTGTCATTTACTAATGTCGTAAAGTTTTGTGGGATACCTGATTCTCTCTCTGAATCCTGTTTCCCCATCTTACGACTACAAAGAATGATACCTGTTCTCAGAGTAGTCGAGAGGATATAATTGCCACAGGTGGGAAGGCAAGCGGTTACGCCTGGTGCACAGTAGTTGCAGAGAATACTCGGAGCTCTGTCCTCAGCCCTGCATTTATCTAGCTCCATGTACACTGCCATGCTGGTGCTGAGGTGCCTGTGTGTGGTGCCCAGATGAATATGTCCAGCAGGCGTTTATATCAGTGAGCTTAAACTCAGGGCTGAGAGCAGGCCTTGAGATAACCACCATCAAAATCATAAAAGCAGCTAATATTTACTAAGCTCGTACTACATGCCGAGTGATTTACAAATGTTATCTTTTTTTTCTCCCAAGCCCCAGTAGATAGTTGTGTGTCATAGCTGCACATCCTTCTAGTTGCTGTATGTGGGACACGGCCTCAGCATGGCCGGACAAGCGGTGCGTCGGTGCGAGCCCGGGATCCGAACCCTGGGCCGCCAGTAGCGGAGCGCGCGCACTTAACTGCTAAGCCACGGGGCCGGCCCAAATGTTATCTTATTTAAGTCTTATAACAAACTTGATACACATAATAGTATCATCCTTGTTTTACACATAAGAAACCTAGGCTCAGAGAGGTTTAATAATTTGAAGGTTCGGGATAACCTGCAGGATCCAGGAGGGGATGGAAGACAGAGGAACCAGGACTGAGGTCTCCGAGCTTTTTTGGCAGACGTGGGAGACAGCCAGAAGCTAGTGTGGAGACAAGCTTCCGCTAAACTTTAGAGTAGAAGCTCCAGACTAGGTGAAGGCATTGATATCCTTGGTGACCGAGGAAGTTAGGGAAATCAGGTTTGGCCTGGAGCAGAAGCAGGAGAATTAGAGACAGGAATACAGAAGTGAGCTGACTGGGGAGGAGGCGGTTGGATTTGGGCGGCTGGAAAGAGCTGACCAGGCTGAGTGCTCTGTAAGTCTGCTCCAAGCTGGACACTCTCCCCTGCACCCTGCTTCTGTGTCAGTGCACCTACAGTGACGTCGTTTGCAGGAAGGTGGCCTGAAGGGGGTGATGCTGTTGAGGACTCACTCTTGGAGGAGGGTGCAGACGCAGGAGGGGAAGCCAGCACAGGGGCTGTCCCATCTGCCGTCTGCAATGCTGACAGAGGAAAGGAGAGGGAGAAGCCCCTCTCCAGAGTGACTCTGGGACAGTGGCCCTCAGGAGGCCCTGCCCCATGGGAGAACTCTCAAGTAGAGGGAAAGGGGGTGGGGCCTTGGGCCTTCGCTTCAGGTTGCTGTCAAGGGGCAGGAACATAATTACACCTCTAGACCTCTCTCCACTCACCTGGTTCGAGGACCTCTGGGGCTTTGCCCAGCAGGCACAAGAGTGGGGCTGCTGAGAAGCAGGGGAGGCTCCTGGAAACGCTTCAGGAATTCTATGAGAAGGGTTGAGTCCCCTGCTCAAACTACCAGAGACTTGGCACAGGAATATACAAAGAAAGATGTATTTGAGAAAGGAAAATGTGGGATTCTGAGGGTCTGAGGTGTGTCTAGGGGGGTTTATCTCATTCTATTTTTAAAAAGATTGGGCTTTCAAATTGGGGCTTGGGTGGCAGAGACGAGACTAAACATTAAACACACATTTCCCCGTTGTGGAGCACTACCTTGAAAGGAGCAATTAGGCAGTGATTTTAATGCATTGTTAGGCTGCTCTTAAGTGAGGGATGTGGGTGGTTCGTGGGGAGGGTTTCTCTACCGCTGCATTCTCTCTCCCCCTCCCCATTCCCTGTCACTGCCAAGGTGTGGGCTCTCCTGTCTCCCAGCAGGTCTCCCTGTCTCCACCATTTCCTAGTTTCCCAGCTCCGGACCATTTCACACATGCCTGCCCAGTTTCCCCTCCTAAAGCACAGCTCATCCCAGGCACGCTGTGGCTGAAAACCCTGCTCTGACTCCCCTGTGGGCCTCAGAATAACATCCAGACCACCTGGCCTGGTGTTCAGAGCCCTCAGCATCTGCCACCTTCTACTTTTCCCACCTTACTTCTCAGTACTCCCAGTAACCCACTCTTCACTCCAGTTAAACTACCTGTTATTCCTTGATTACATCTTGCTCTTATCTGTAGCTAGCTTTGTGATACTGCTTTTTTTTGCATCAAATGACCTCTTCCTTCAATTTTTGCATGATCAAGTCCTTCCTATCGTTTGAGGGCTAGTGTAAATGCATCTATTCCCAGGATCCCTTCCCCAACCACCCCATCCTCATAGCTCAGAGGACATGTGATTATTCCCACTCCTGAACTCATCTATAGTATTTCCTTGTATCACTCTTACTGAGTCTAGCACATTCTACCTTGTTTGGTGATTATTTATCAGAAAAGAGGTATGTCTTTTCTCCACTATGAGAGAGAATTTTAGCTCTTGAAGGTGTAATCTGTGTCTGATTGTTATTATTCTTGTTAATAAGAGCTATCATTCATTAAAATAATTAGTTAATTTTTAAATATTTAGGGATTTTCTAGTAATATTTTTATTATTGAATTCTAGTTTAATGCTACTGTGGTCAGAGATGTACTCCCTATGGTTTCAGTCCTTTGAAACTTATTGAGAATTTGCTTTATGGCTGAGCATGATGTTAATTTTGGTAAATTTTTGCATGTCCAGTGGAAAAAATGTGTATTCTGTCTTCGTTGCGTATATTCTTCTATGTATGTCAATTAGGTTGTGGTTTTATACAGATCTTCTATATCTTTATTGACTATATCTTTATTAGATTTTTATCTTTTTTGACTTTTTATTGACTTTTGAAATCTATTGTCTCTTAGTTACTATTAGTCTATTAGTTGTCTGTTAGTTGCTGTGAGAAGTAGGTTGAAGTCACCAGTTCTGATTGTGCCTTTGTGTACTTCTCCATATGACTCTGTCAAGTTTTCCTTTACATATTTTGAAGATATGTTATTAGATGCATACAAAGTTACAACTGTTACATCTCTCTGGTAGATTCACCTTTTTGTTATTGATCAATACCTCTCTTTATCTCTAGTAATGTTTCTTGCCTTAAAGGCTACTTTGATGTTAGTATGGCTGTATCAGATTTCTTTTGTTAGTGTTTGCGTTATGTATCTTTTCCCATCCTTTTACTTTTACTCTTTCTATGTTCCTATATTTAAGGTGTATTTTTTTTTAAATGGGTTCTTTTATTTATTTATTTATTTATTTATTTAT